TATCAAAAATATGAAGCCTTACTCCATCGTAATAGACACAAATCCAATGACCATAATTGTTATTACCGCATAAAAAGTATTTAAATAGGTTTATCACCTTCTCTAATTGGGACAATAAAATCAAGCATTTGTACAAATAAAGTACTTTGCATATTGAAAAAAGAGTTTGAATCTTTTCTTAATAAATCTTCAAATTTGTACATATGCATGTCATTTAACAATTTATTTCTATTTTTAATAATTTTGAAATCTTTACCACTTAAAATATCATCCTCTTTTATGTTGGCCATAGTATACTTCGTTTAATTTTCTTTTTAATTCATGAAAATCTAAATATCTTTAACCCTCTCTCTCACTCTCTCCAACATAACCAATTTTGCCTTTTATCCAATACAACAAATTTTGCCTTTAATCCAATATAACCTTTTTTGCTTTTTATCCAGTATAACCAATTTTGCCTTTTATCCAATAAAACCAATTTTGCATTTAATCCAATATAACCAATTTTGCCTTTTATCCAATACAACCAATTTTGCCTTTTATCCAAAATACTCAATTTTACCATTAATCCAATATAACCATTTTTACTTTTTATCAAATATAACCCATTTTGGCTTTCATCCAATATAACCAATTCTTCCTTTTATCAAATATAACCAATTTTGCCTTTTATCAAATTTAACTAATTTCGTCTTTTATCAAATATAACTAATTTTGTCTTTTATCAAATATAACCAATTTTACCTATTATCAAATATAACCAATTTATTTTCCAATATAAATATCAATCAATTCGATTTTTTTCAATAGTAAATTGTTCCAGTAATTAATTTACAAAATGAGGTAAAGAATCAGATTAAAAATGTAACAATACTTATTATATTACTTACTTAATATATTCACGAAGTTGACTTTATATTCACTACGAAGTTTACTTTATATACACAAGAGTCACAATATATACACTAAGTTTACTTTGTATTCACTCACATACAGTGAGTGAATTTATGTATTAATTCAATGAATTAAAAATTAATTCACTGTAATACTGTATTTTTAAATCGAAAATATTCTACAAAATGCAATGTGACGAACTGGAACTGGTCAGAAGATGGACATTTTATATCAGCAATTCCATGGGATGTGATCACAAGAATTTTTGAAGATTGGATCAATTTTATTGAAACCTTGTGAATATGTTCCTTTATTTGTACAGAATGAAAGCCCACAAACAATTTTTCAAAATTTTCAAATTTTTTTTAGATATCTCTAATTAAAAATTTATGTCATTTTTTTAAAAAAAACATGTAATTTTTTTTCTTGTTATCCAAACGAGATCAATTTTTTTCAAATTTCTCACAAAAAGATGCTATTTTAAGAAAAAAATATTTCATAAAAAAAAATTTTTTTTGCCCGGAAAAAAGTCAAAAAAAAATTTTGAATTCATTTTTTGAAAAAACTACCTCTTCGATTTTAAAAATTTTTTTTTCTACTTAATGTCTATGATGTTAAGAATAACTCCTCTAATTTTCATAATGGGACAGCAAGAACTTTGCGAGAAATAAATTAAAACGTCCCGTGCGGCGCGACGGGACGCGCGCATCTTAGTTTTCACGTCCATTATATAGTATGGAAACTTGCAAATATCTCGAAAAGTACGAATTTTCGTAAAAAATGTTTAAGACAAAAGTTGTTCCAAACAAAAAGATCTACATATTTGAAACCAAAAAATTGGGCCGGGGCCCAATGTTGGGTCGTACAATAAAAAAAGAGGTTTTCTTAAATAAGACCACTAATTTTCAGTATCATGTTCGTAATCCCTATGAAATTCTGCGCTCAGACATGTTGTATAAGTGCTCAAAATATTGGTCCCAATGTCTGAGATTGGGCCCAACATTTTTTGACAAACAAATAAATAAATTTTAAAAAATCTTATTTTTGGGGGCCCAATGTGAGACCCACAGTAAAAAAATTAGTTTCCATCCATTTCGTAATCGTTATGAAATTCTGTGCTTAGACTTGTGGTACAAATTTCAAAAATATTGGGCCCAATCCCAGACATTTGGCCCAATATTTTTGGCATTCGTACTACAAGTCTTAACCCAGAATTTCATAACGATTACGAAATGGATACTGGAAATTAGTGGGTTTTATTTAAGAAAACTAATTTCTTTACTGTGGGTCTCACTTTGGGCCGTGGAATCTTACATTGGGTTCTGTGCCTTATTTCAAAATTAGCTTCGAATTTCTAATCCTGTGACCCCAAAAACCCCAAAGATAAGATTTTTTAAAATTTATTTATTTGTTTGTCAAAAAATGTTGGGCCCAATCTCAGACATTGGGACCAATATTTTGAGCACTTATACATGTCTGAACGCAGAATTTCATAGGCATTACGAACTTGATACTGAAAATTAGTGGTCTTATTTAAGAAAACCTCTTTTTTCATTGTATGGCCCAACATTGGGCCCCGGCCCAATTTTTTGGTTTCAAATATGTAGATCTTTTTGTTTGGAACAACTTTTGTCTTAAACATTTTTTAAGAAAATTCGTACTTTTACAACTTCACCTTTCAGGACAGTATTAAAACAGTATGGTCATCGACCATCTTACGAACCCTCAACCGAAAGATGTTTTGACAAAACAAATTTCAGGTAGAAACCCTCCAGAACCCTAATTATCAAGGAGCTTCTACAATAGCTCCGTTTCGCAACTCCAACTCCAAGTCCAAGTCCAAGTCGGTTGGAGTTGGTTGCGCACGCATGGTGTTGCCAACTGTCGCCGAGTTGAAAATGAAAAAAAAAATTGTGCGTGATCTCGTGCTCACGAAATACATAGTTGAGGTTATGTACCTTTAAAGCTGTAAACACGCTGTAAAGTTTAATAAATTATTTGTTGTTGTTGCTGTTGATGTTGCCGCCGTCTCATCGTTTTTTAAAGAGAAGAAAAATATAAATTAAATTAAATTTTTCTTTTATAAACAACAAAATTTTTTCCCCGAATAATACACACATGCAATGAATTTAATATTTGTAATATATAAATATAGTAATAAAGAAATATACAATAAATGAGATGAACTGTCAATACAAAATTTTTTTTATGTTTTTTATTGACATTATAATAAAAGTTTTTCATCATTTTGATTATTTCACAATATATTAAAAAGGTATTGTCATGAACATAACCTTACAATATTTTTTGCTTATTTTAATATTAGAGAATGCAGATAATTTTCAAAGTTTAATATTTTATGAATGAATTTTTTCGTCTAAAATTCATTGAATATAATTACTATATGTGATAATTCTTTAAAAAGTTAATTTCTTCATGCGTTGCCATAATATTTTTGTAATCCAATTTCCTGAATTCTCCATTTTTCCATGTAAATAATAACTTTTTCCCTGACAAACAGATTTCTTATTAGAAGAAAAAAAAACATTTAAGACTCTACAAACATTTTAAACACTATAATCTAAATACTCTAATCTGAATTTAATTCTGAAAATAACATTAAAATAGTATAGTAAAATAATCTGTTAATGAGAATAATGTAATCTTAAGTTAAGTTATTTTTAAAAATCGTATTTAATTAAAAATATAATAAATATGTCAACGCACGTTTTCCATTATTTTTCAAATATTTTTAAATTTAATACCATTTTATGATTACGCCCTTCTCATGTGATGAAATGTAAAAATATTGTAAGGTTATGTTCATGAAAATACCTTTTTAATATATTGTGAAATCAAAATGATGAAAAACTTTTATTATAATGTCAATAAAAAATATAAAAAAAAAATTTGTATTGACAGTTCATCTTATTAATTGTATATTTTTTTATTACTACACTGAGAGACCTTTTGCACCGCATCAGAACTACGTGTGTGACTGCAGCGCCACTATAGGTTTTGGTGCGCTGCATTCTAAATTTTGTATCGTGACTGCCCAAAAATGAAAATGAACCTTTCGGCCGTCAATTTTTTGGACAGCTACGCTCCAAAAATTGTACGGCTGCAGACCAAAAACGTAGTTTCATAGCTGACCGCTAGAATGCTCCGCAGCCGTCTGTCGAAAGTCTGTTACGGTGCAAAAGGTCTCTCAGTGTATATTTATATATTACAAATATTAAATTCATTGCATGTGTGTATTATTCGGGGAAAAAAATTTTGTTATTTATAAAAGAAAAATTTAATTTAATTAATATTTTTCTTCTCTTTAAAAAACGATGAGAAGGTGGCAACATCAAAAGCAACAACAACAAATAATTTATTAAACTTTACAGCGTGTTTACAGCTTTAAAGGTACATAACCTCAACTATTTCGTAAGCACGAGATCACACACAATTTTTTTTTTCATTTTCAACTCGGCGACGGTTGGCAACACCATGCGTGCGCAACCAACTCCAACCGACTTGGACTTGGACTTGGAGTTGCCAAACGGAGCTATTGTAGAAGCTCCTTCAAAGGAAAGATATATATGTATATATAATCTAATAATAATGAGAAAATTCAGGTACTAAGAAAATGTGAATGAATGAAGGAATGAATACAAAGATTATTATAATATAAATAAAATAAATTGCCGTTTGTTTTACAGAATATTATAATAATAGTATTAGATTATAATAATAATATTAGAATAATAGTAGTATTAAACATAACAGAACGCAATTTTTAGATTTCTTGAGAAAACGATCAGCTACTATTTGAAGCACAGCAGTTTTTAGATCTACGAATACTCTTCTAAAAACCCATTAAAACAGTTTTTGGAACCATTTTAGTTGAACCTATTCATGCTTGAGAAGCACCGTGTTATGTACGTAGGGGTTAAAAAAATACGTTTAAAAACGTAATTTTTTAAATTGTGGTAAACATAAGCAATAATCTATTAGAAACTTCCTACATGATTCTTTAAAATGTATTTAATTCTACGTAGAATGAGGTTTTTTAATAAAATTTGAGAAAAATATCTACTTTAATACTAAATTTAACATACTTATGAATTTGGTCCCTTTGTTGCTCAATACTCTCAAGTTGAATTACAGTAAACAGTTGCATTTCCCCTTCCCGTCCAAAAACTCCTCCAGGGATTTTACGTAGAAACTTTTTTAGAGCACTAGCAATTGTATAAACACTAAAATTATCCATATTAATCAGTCGACCAGTCTGTAAAAAATATATAAGCTTCTTCATGTTCCCTTGATGTCCTGGAGCACGAAATATATCTTTCCTTAAAGGAGCTTCTTTATTTAGTTTTAATATTAATACCTAAAATATAAAGTATTTGATAAAATTCAGAATAGAATAATTAAAAAACATATGACAGAAACTGAATGACATGGGTAAGATATTATTATTGTCTCTTATGCTTATACAAATCTCATTGCTGCAATAAGATAAAACAACTTCGAGTATTAACTACTAAACCTACGTTATGTAGTATCTACTATAAGATCCTATATATGTTCTCACATGGATTCCTACATCGGATCTCATGTAAGAATTCAACGTATAGGAATACCGTCATGTATGTAGGAATCCATGTAGAAGCTTATGTAGTATCTTACATAAGATTCTATATATGTTCTCACATGGATTCCTACATCGGATCTCATGTAAGAATTCATCATATAGGAATACATATGGGATGTCATGTATGAATATCACTGTTTTAGTTGTCCACATAAGATACCAAGTAGGAAATTATATGTGAATTTATATAGGAAATTATATGGGAAATTTCAATATAGATGTAAATAATCATAATTCCACTCTTACGCCCCCAGATGGTGATAATTTTTTTTCCACAGTTGAGATCATTCTTGAATACTATGTAAGCTGAGACTTTAACTCAGAAGGTGTATTACAGAGCACAAATTTTTTTCTTTTCAGATAAATCGCAGTTTTTATAAAGGAACCCATATGGAATCATATATAGGATCCCATGTGGGAATTTTTAATAGGGTTACGTATAAAAAAAGTAAAACATAAATTATGACATTTATTTTTAAAATATTAATAGGGTTAAATTTAAGATTATTATCCGCGACGATTTTGAACTAAAAACTGAAGATTTATGCATAAATAATAACAATTAAATTGCTTCGACCAAAAATTTTATTTTTTATATTCATTTGCACATTAAATATGAACAAATTTATGCAATAAAAGATGAAAAAAAGTTCTAGGATATCAATTCATTGTCATAAAAACTATAGTGGCGCGATGATTTTGAACTAAAAACTGAACATTTATGCGTAAATAATAACAATTAAACTGCTTCGAGCTAAAATTTTATTTTTTCTACTCATTTGCACATTAAATATGAACAAATTTATGCAATAAAGGTTAAAAAAATTTTTGAAATATCAATTAATTTTCATAAAAACTATAGTGGCGCGATGATTTGGAACCAACCCTAGCGGATTGTGTAAACCGAGAAGTTGACTGAGCTCGGTCAAGTTTCGGTTCGTTTAGGTTTGAGGCCATATATTGCAAAAAATAATTGAAATATTGGTAAAATTGCTATTAGGAAGTAATAATTAATGTTTTTGAGTCGATTTATGCAATATTATTGGATAATTAAACTCTTATTATTAAATAATTAACTTTTTTAAAGAGTAGTGTATTTACCTGTCATGGTATACTCTATTTTGTAATTGAAAAAAAGGAAAATGACAGAAAATTAACTTTTTTTCCTATTGAATTAATATTAATTATTTTTGTTATTTATACAATAAACTAGTACTAAATAATTAAATATATAATATATAAAAAATTTTTGTTGTAACCTTAATATGTGACGCGACGCGAAGAAAGGGACCTAAGAGTCCAATTTTTGATTTTCGGATTATGATTGATTCAGATAAATTAAGGATTGCTTTTTAATTATGTGAAGTCAAAATTAAATTTTATCAAATAGTTTTTTTGCAATAACAATTTAAACATGAGCGATTCGTGTAGAGAATTGACTCTCTTTTTCCTCACACACACATGCGTACGCTCCCCTCTCACTGTGTCCATGCGTCACTTGAAGTTCGGGTCGGTATTCGTGATTTAGAGAGAGATGCGCTGACTACACCGTTCTCTCTCACTACGAAAGCACGTGTACGAGGTGCATCTCTCTTTACTTTCCGAAGACGCCCGAACACACAGACGCCAACTTGAAATAGTAGTGGGAAGCAAGAGAGAGTAAGAGATATCGGAAACTCTTCGCCACGTTCTTGCCTACTCTTTTCTCTCTCCTGTGAAATTGCCGTTTGGACGCTTAGGTCCCTTTCTTCGCGTCGCGTCACATATATGCATATTACCGGCGTAATACACGCGTTGATCAGTAGATGGTGTTAAAAAACACTTTGTGAATTTTTTTTGTCATTTTGTGTTTTAAAGAAAATTCAAGGATTCCCGAAATATTTTATAAAATAATTTTTATTTTTTTTATATTTCTTAAAAAATTCAACTAACAAAAATATTTTACATAATTTTTAAATTTTTATATCAAAATTATAAAAAATTATGTAAAATATTTTTATTAGTTTAATTTTTTAAGAAATATTTTTTTAACTCATAATTTTTTTATTTAAACAAAATTATGTCAAAGTAAAACAAAAATGTAGCATAAAAAAATAAAAAATTTAAAAGACAAATTACACATTCAACATTGTAGTTTTGAAGTGAAAAAATTTTTTTAATAAACGTAGGTTTTCAGTTTTTCAAAATATTAAGGTTTCCAGGACACTTTGATGACATTAAACATTTAATTGATTAAAATATTTTTTTATTTGTCTTGATAAAATAGTGTATTAGTATTAAATAATTAAGTTGACTTGAATCAATTAAATAAAGTTATTGTATCAAATAATTTTTATTTGTTTCAATAAAACGAAATATTTGAGTGAAATAAATAAATAAATTGTTGTATTAAAAGTTTGTATTAAATAATTCAGTTTATGGGAATTAACTACCTACATAAATTTATTGTGTCAAATACTTTTTATTTGTAACAAATAAACGAAATATTTGAGTGAAATAAATGAATGAATAGTTTCAAGTAACTCATTATTTGTATTAAATAAATTTATTTATTCAATTCAATTAATTATTTAATTGAACCAAATACGATTTATTTGGTTCAAATAAATGCGATTCAAATAATTCAAGTTATTTGAATCAAATACATATATTTTTTATTCAAATAAAAAGTATTTGAACCAATTAAATATTTTTCAAATAATTTGAAGTATTTGAATCAAATAAATTTTTTTTGAGTGTATACAAGGGCACTAGGCTTTTACTCAAAGACTGTCAAATTCAATAATCAAGGGAAACTCAAAGCACAGGGAAATGATTCAAAATTCCAATTAAATAAAAATAATCTTCCTTTTTACTCGGCCTGCTGCAGTAGCAATTCTTGGTTAACAGTAGAGAGGGCGGTTCGAAAAAACCATATTCGAAAAGATTTTATTTTTAAATTAAATAAAACATGCGATTTTATAAACAAAAGGTTAACAAATTTCTTTATTTAAATTTTGAACATTATAAAAATTTGAGTTCCGACTCGATATAATTTTAAAGAAAACATTTACTTATTCTTTTTAAAGATTCTTTAATTCGAGGAATGGAGAAATATGGAGAATGGAAATGGATACAATAATTCATTATAATAATTTAGTATTCCGTTAGCAAAATCGATTGTCTTTTGTTTTTTCCTGAAGTTAGGTTCTTTTGATATATATATATATCAATCAAAACAACCTATATATATATATATATATATATATCAATCAAAAGAACCTAACTTCAGGAAAAAAACAAAAGACAATCGATTTTGCTAACGGAATACTAAATTATTATAATGGATTATTGTATCCATTTCCATTCTCCATCTTTCTCCATTCCTCGAATTAAAGAATCTTTAAAAAGAATAAGTAAATGTTTTCTTTAAAATTATATCGAGTCGGAACTCAAATTTTAAATTAAATAATTTTTAATTAAATTAAATAAATTGTGTCACTTATGGTTACTTTTTGACAATACAATTTTCGACATTTCTTTATTAGAAAGTTTGGATTTTATCAGAAAGTGAATTGCAAGTTGTGTTGTGCAATAAATTAATTGTGTTCTCTTCGCGAATTCGAAGTAAAAAGTAAGTATTTTTTTTAATAATAATAAAAAACAAATTATTTTATAATAATAATTTACATTGTAAATATATATATATATATATATATATATATATATATATATATGTATATATATATATATATATATATATATTAAATTTGTTATTAAAAAATAATATCTAATTAAATTAAAATAAAGTGTTTAACTTTTTAATTATAATTTAATTTCAGACGCGAAGAATTTAAACGATTATTTTTGGTATATTCCTTGTTTGGTAGAAGCCAGAATTGTAATTCTGAGCCAGGTATGTTTAAAATTTTTATTCATTTTTTACTCATGAATTATTAATGTTAAAATCTTTTAGAAATAGAAATTTCAATCTTTCAGTAATAATTTATTAAAATAAATTTTTTTTTACATATTATAAATTTAACATTTTTATTTATTTTTTACTCATAAAGTATTAATGTTAAAATCTTTTAGAAATAGAAATTTCAATCTTTCAGTAATAATTTATTGAAATAAAATTTTTTTTACATATTATCAATTTAACATTTTTATTTATTTTTTACTCATAAAGTATTAATGTTAAAATTTTTTAGAAATAGAAATTTCAATCTTTCAGTAATAATTAATAAAAATAAAAATTGAAATTTTATTTTATTTTTTCAAATTAGTAAAGGATACTTTTTGGAATTTTTAAAATTATTATTATAAATAAATAAAGCAATAAAAAACAATAACTGACATATTTGATATAACAATATCTGACCTTTTAAATTTGTTCCAAATTGAAAGAAAAAGAACTCATATTTTTTTATTTTGAAAAATAACAATATTTAGAGGTCGCTTAAAGACCATGAAATTTACTATTGATTCTTTATTGGGAAATCTCACTTTTCGTAAATTTGCTATAAAATCGTTAAAAGTCATTCAAATCAGTAATGCATTGGGCCAGTTTTTGAAGAAGATTCAAAAAACAGTATCCATACTGATTTTTATGGATTTTATTCTTATTTAATTATTTATCAATATTAATATTAATTCGGTTATTAACTAAATTGTTGTAATTTGACAAATTATGCATTTTTCTTAATGTTTCAATGTATTTTTAATTTGTTTAAAATTTTATTATTATTATTTAT